AGTTTGAGCGTCAGTTTGGGAGACATTTCTGTATTCAGCGTTAGAAAAGCTGAAGCAAGAGAGTTGGTACGTTAAGCATTATGGCTGTCATTGTCGGACGGTGATCGATCGCGAGTGCTTGAAATATAATAAATAAATCGTAGGTTTTTATAGAAAATTGTCTGCGCAATTTGTAGGAAAAGTATTCGATAGTGATCTCATAACGAATTCTAATCTTTTACTGCAATATAACCTCGGTTATCCGAACTAGTCGAAAGAACACAAGCGCTCGGATAATAGAACTAAATTAAGTATTTACTGGTTTGTCATAATAAACAATGTCGTATGTCGATGGCTTTAGATTGATTTATTCACATCAATACATTCGTTTTAAGTCGTGCTAGAAAAATAAAGAATTCAGATGAATGCTGATCGGATATTTTGTGCTTCAGCTATTCGTTTCCATCAGAAATGCAAAAATTTTACACGCTATTAATAAGTAACATCCTTGAATTGTAAATGAAAGAATTGCAGACCTGAATATTAAAATTGAAATGGATTTCGTTAGAACTAGTAGGTAGCGTAAAATATTAAGTTACTTCGCGTTCCCGTTGCAGAATGTATTTCTTTAAATCGCGGAATCATAGTCGGCTGATGCAAGAAATAATGGAAGAATTCTTTTTTATTTAGTGTTCTAAAAACGATTCGATATTATTGCTTATCCTGGCATTACGAAAGCTTGCTTAGGTTTATGTTAACGGCCGAACGTTGCGGTTATTTCGTGGTATAATCTGTAACGTTTAATCAACATATTGTGAAATGTCGAAAATTTAATCACCCCTGCGAGGAAGTTTACGATTTTGTATACGTAATAATAATGTTTGCAACTGTTGGAACAGAATTGTTCGAGTTTAGTGGAAATTACATACTATTTCGTTTCGATGGAACTTTCTCTGTTTCGCCGTGGATCCGATGATTACCAAACATCTTTGTTACGTGGAAATGTAAAATTTGAATAATTTCTGGATTCTTGTATGTGCTATGTGGGCTTAAATTTTTGAGAGATCGCTATAGCAACTCGTAGACAGCGCAGCCTCGTTAAAATTCCACAAACTATTTTATAAAATTTCCAAATGTCATTTTCGTTTCTTATGTGTCAATATTGCGGTAATCGTGGATTATTTAGTTTACTATATTTACGATGCGTAGGATCGACAATGATTTTCGAGACCATTTGAGAAACACGTGTTTATTTTTATAGCTTGCGAGCCACTCTGAACTGTGACGACAGCGTCGCGAGCTCCACGCTCTCGCATCTCACATCTCTCGCTGACATTCATACGGACAAATAAAATATTTTCTTATTCACTGTGCTAAAAAATACCGACTGCAATTTAAAATCACGCGGTTGAAATTCCTGTAAATAAAATAGAAACAGATAATTTCAATTTGTTTGATCGAAATGTGGCGTCTAACTTTCCGACCAACTTCCCGAGGTCATTCGAAGCAACTTTTTCCTTAGCGAAAATGCGATCCGCGGCTTTGTTTACGAGTTATTAACGAAAAACACTGACCAATGAGCGATCGCATACGTCCGACGCCCCGCCCTCGTGACCACTGCCGCCGCGTTAGACGGCCGGCGGTCACAGTTTCTACATACAGATTAGGATCTCCGTCGCGATCTACTTAATTAATGATCGTACGAGAACGAAATTAATCGAAAGCAAGAGCCCTCGAAGATTTATCATCCTCAACATTTCGGAAAATATTCATTTATCGCGATCAGTAATTTTTCTTGGCAATTAGATCACGCTAAGCATCCCGTGGACAACAAGAACGCGATGAAGACGCCATCAAGATAGTTTCGCCGAGACAGCCGGAGGGATGAATTAATTAATCATCGTTAGCGAGGGGGCGTATACGAAGTTGTTGATAAAACACCGCTGTATACTTTCGCGAACAAATAACGAGTGACGATTAAAAATTCAATCGGTGCATCGATAGTTTTCCGAGTCCTATGAATAATCGAGTCCGCGCGGGTTTGGTTAGTCTATGGTGCGGTATCTGTTACACGTTCCATTACAGATTATCGACTTCGTGCTGGTACGTGACTTGATTAATCGCGAGGGCTGTATATTTAATTCGTCCACGCAATCGATTGTAATTTGTATCTGCGGGGGCGGGCCGATTATCTATGGAATAATGGTAGGACGCGCGCGGCGAGAATCTTAAAGCGGCGATTGATTTCAATGGAGTTGCTGTTCTTATGGACCCCGGTCTATTTATATAACGATGGATGGAAAAGATGCAATCACTTGGGTCACCGAGCTGCGTTACTAGCAACAACGAGAAGAAAACGTATCCATTTTGAAAAAATAATTCACAGTTCACAGTCAAATAGTTCACCCGTTAAATCCCACTTGATCGATCAAATGAAACGATTCCTATAATTTGTTATATATTAAAAGTTAAATAATTTTGTATCGCAATTTAAGTTTCCACCAAAGATCTATTATAATTTGAAGTTCTATTAAACCGTATTATAATTACAATTTCTATTTGAGCTCTATTAAGAATATGTTGCAATTCAAATTTTTTATTTACATTCTACGACTAGTGAGTAATACAAAATTAATCACAGAAATATCGTTTTATTTGATTGCTCAACTGGGATTTAACGGGTCAACGGACCGTGAATTATTTTTACAAAACGAATACGTTTTCATTTCGATAGAAGGAAATACTATCTTTTATTATTTAAAGAATTTATTTTTATATCCTTTAACTAAATTATTTCTTCATAAGGTAACAAATTAATTTGTACGCTAACCAACGCAAATAAATTAATTTGTGATAAGATCAAAAACGTAAATAAAATAATTCACGATAACTTTCTTGAGATATAAAAATTATATTTATAATTACTATAATTTGAATTTCCGACCAAAATTTACTATAATTAAGTTTCTATTAAAATTCCACTTGTTATAATCCTAGACACTATACAGAAAGTTACATTAAAGGGTTGCATAAAAGAGTCACAAATTTGGTATATGTGTGTGTAGATATGTTGCTGTCCATTATCAATTTACGAGAACAGTATTGCAACGACACAGAGTATCGTCATTAATAAATAAGTTATTGTAAATAACTACTTGTGTTTAGAAGACGAGAGAGAATTAGCACAGCATTCATAACGGAATGAACAACGCATGATCGAAGTCGATATTGTTCCAGTAACACTTTATCGAAAATAAGAGAGCAATGTATATCAATCGAAAGTTTGGAACCATTAATTTGAAGTCTGGAGAGAATTTGTCACGCGATAGAACGTTAGTGAAAATTGATAAGTGGTTCGAAACTTTTGCTTCGCGATGTATAAGCATGCAATCTGAAATCCGTCAAATTGGAGGGCACGATAATTGCGGTGCTAACTAGTAAGTTCGTTAACGTCTATGAAAGCTGCGAAATCTTCATTCAATCTAAACGCCATTATTATCTTCTTCTAGTCAATTCTTTTCATACTCCGCGTCGTTCCATCTTTTCTCATGTAACATTACTTTTTTATCAGCACTCGAATCTTTCAGCATTCATTCACTATTAATCAGCACTCATTAATTATTATCGATTTTACATAGCCCTCATATATTTATATGAATCATTATTGTTACTTTAAATCAGCACTTAATCAGTAGACGCATATTATAATCAGTGTTCGCATTTCTAACGACTAACATTGGTCTTAATCAGCACTTTTCATGCACGCAACTTATAATCTGTAATCACATGTTTAAGGACTACCATTTTGTATTAATCAGCACTTACATTCTTATATTCTATTATTATGTATAATCAATGTCCAAATTTTTAACTGCTGTTACTATTTCTAATAAACTAAAATTTATGCATTTATAACAATCATGAATAGATCAAATGCAGAAGAATGCAAATGTTTGATTAATTTAAAAATGCTGTTGGACTAAGTTGAACGAAATGAAATAAATATCTATGGATTTCAGACAATCTTTATTTCACATAAAAATCTATTAAGTAGTCATTACAAATTCGAGTACTGTTACGTTGAGTCACAATTAATTAATAATAATAAATATAATATAATATATAAAATATAATAATAATAATAAATAAAGTGTAACAACTAGACTGCGGATATTTGTTCAAAACAAAAACGTTTCAGTATGTTAAAATAAAGACCTTCCCACTGCTTCCGGTCCCACCGATCCATTTTCGCCACTAATGCATAAAATCCGCAACCTAGCAGCGACATATTCACCGTTCCAACGATCCATCGTTAAACTATAGATTCTAATCAACGAACTCCAAAACACCGCGATCAGCAGACTAGTCTCATTTCACCATCGAAACAATTGAAATTCTCGGCTAATGCAGCGTCCCCTCCGGAAACAGCAGAAAACTCCCCCACCGTTCGAAAAACTCCACAATCTCTTCGAATCCCTGAAAATCAATCAAAAACAAACCCGACCCCCATCATCCCCTAAACCACCTCATATCCTCGAACCCAGTAGCACCTTTCTCCACGAAGCCAGCTCATCGGCCACGCCGTGTACGCCGGCAGAAAACTTCCGAAGTATAGTTCCAACGGTGGATCCATAGCGATTTCTATCCCCGTTAATTGGTTTATGGATCAGCCGGGCCGGCCGTCGGAGCACGTGCCCCCACGAACGCAGCGCAGCGCAGCGAAGAAACGAAAAGAACGAAAATCAAGCGAAACGAAACGAAACGAAAGAGAAGAACTCGCCGGGGTTCGGTCGCTCGTTGTTCGGGCGAAACGAGAAACACGCGGGCCGAGCAAGCTCCTAGGGGGTTGGCGCGGTCCGAAGGGCGAGGTAAGAAGCGAATAACGCGAGAGAGTAACGTCGTCGGGCGAGGATCGTGTGCCCCAACGGAGAGGGGGACAGAGAGAAAGGGCGCGCAGGACGGAGAGGGCACGACGATCCAGAGTGGAGGAGCATGCGCGGGTGGGAGTGGCACCTTATTCGTCGTGCAGCTCCCGCCAAGGCTTTCTGTCAACTACGAACTCTCGATGGAAAAGGTTCCCGGTGGCGCCTGTCAACGACACTGTCGCCGAAAATCGTCGCGGATCGGAAACAGAATTTTCGCTCGGTGACGCGTCGTCGCGCTCCGGGCATCGACCGCGACTCGCACGTGATCCGAGAAACCGAAAAAACCGCATCCCTGCCCTAATCGAATTTACACGCGCGTGTGTATATACATATGTGTGTGTGCGTGCGTGTCGAATTACCCTGAGAGAAGACCGACTCCAGAGTGACAGTGTGTCGCAACCCCCCTCGGAACGATCTTCTGCGAGCAACGCAGGATGCAAACGTAGGATACGGTGCGTTGGAAAGGTGACGTTCGAAGTGCGATCTCCTGGATCGGATCGATGGACCGCGCTACGATCGCGGTGTAGTGGAGCGTGCGGCTCTCGATCGCGGATGACAGCTAAGAATCGCGGTGTCACGTGGTGGTGAAAGTGCGGCACGTGGTTTCCAGTGGATCCTCGTCTCGAGTCCACTTTCTCTCTCGCTCATTCTCTCTTTCTCTCTCCTGGCCACCCTCTCCCCCCGAAAAAATAATCTATTTTATAATTAAGGCCGGAGCAGGAGCCGGAGAGATCGGATAATTAAGGGGTGGCGCGCGAAAGAAGCGGAGATGCGGCAAATCGGCGGACTTATTTGACGGGCGACGAGCGTCTTCGGGTGGCAACGGGACGGAGGCACTCGCGGAGATAATTAATTCGGGTACTAATTAGTACCGAGCTGCGAGCGCGCGAGACGAGCTGTGGCGTGGCGTGGCGAGGCGAGGCGAAGCGCGGAGGGCAGGACAAATGCGCGCGAACGCTCGGCGGTTTGATCGGCGGATTTGCTGATTAAACTCGTCGCCGGATGACCCGGAAGGATCCGGTTGAAAGAGCGGGCTAATGAGAGCCAGACCTCGGAAAATTTCTCGCGAGAACACGACACCGCCGGAGAAAATTACGGGCGACAAACGGGGCTACGGGCCGCTCGGATCAGAGACTTTCGCGTGATCGAATTTAGGAAGGAGAGGGGCCAATCGACGGTCCTCCACCGGCACCGTTGTTGTAATCGGCACAGAAGTGGCACCAGGGGTGGAACAGAAGTGGAACAGACGTCGCACAGAAGCGGCACAGAAGTGGGGATTACTCGGAGACAAACATAAAGTTCGCGTAATTTTTCTGCGCGAAGATCAACGCCAGTCTGTCGCGCGGCACTCCCAGCGGACGGACACCTTCGTGGACCAACTACAACATAGATCGATACGGATCGATCCTCCTCCTTGAAGCGTGCAGTGGCCAGGATCCATTCGATCCGGTGAACCGTGGATTTCGTTGTTCGAAGATCGCGTAACCGCGAGTGCGACGTTCGGCATAGTGTCTGCATCGTGCACCGGCGCGCTGTAAATCGCGCTGGCAATTACGACGGGAACGCGGGAAAGGGAGACAGGTAAATCGCGGCGAAAGAAAAGCCCGGGCCCATTAAAGCCGGGGGGCAGAGTGTCTGAAAGCATTCGAGGGTTGTTATTAACTATCCTACAGCGACGGTTCCGGCGAGGGGCGCGACGATAACGACCGCGGTCCGGCTAAAAAGCTTCGATGAACTTAGCGGAACACCGTCGAAACTGACCGGGATGATCCCGGCGATATATCCGTAGGAGGATCGTATCCGATAGAGGATCTCCGGGGAAGGGTCGCGTGGAAACTTCGTCGTTGAATCCCGAGCTGGAAAAATCAGAGCGGTCCTCCGGCCGCTCTAGAACCCCGCCCTACGGGGTCAAAGGGGAATCACGGATATTCTAATACCTGGGCGATCAAGAGCAACCAGTGGATTTCGTTAGCGGTCCCGTAGGTGCCTGGTGACGATAAAGTCGCGGGGGTGGACAAGGGTGAAGTCGTCAAATGTTGAGCGAACGATGAGACACTCGAGGTCGCAAGCGGGGCGGAGTGGCTCTTCAATCGGTGGATCGTACTCCAGGTGCAGCAAGTGTCCGAGGAAAATGTGGCTGCTGCCAGTTCTGCTGCTCTGCTCCCTGCTGAGGACAGGTGAGTTACCTGGTTTCGTTACCATGGTCTTCGATCGTGTCGCCGAGCCGTGGCAGGCTGGTGAAAAATTCAAAGGGGCGGAGATCTTTCTCTCTCTCTCTCTCTCTCTCTCGCTGTCTCTCTGTCGCTCTGTTTCTCTTCTTTGCTGCTCGTCGTCGTCGCCGTCGTCGTCGCCAAGGTGGCGCGTGTCCGCTTCGGTCCGCTTTGCTCCGCTTCGGCACGGCGGCGCGTAACTTATCGCGTCCCGCTGCCACGCCGGGGCTCGTTAACGTTTTAATCTCTAATTTCGCCCCGGGAATTTAATCTTTGTCCCTCTCTTTCCGCGCCGCTCCCGCCGAACGACCGGGATAATTGGAATTTTTTTGCGCGACGTTCCGCCTGTTTACCTGGCCGAACGGCGGATTTTGTCGTCCCACCCTTACCGTCGTCGTGCTCCAGGCGTCACCCGATGTTCTCGTCGATTTTCGCCCGGCGAATGCTTAATTGGCGTGATAGGCGCCCCTGTGCGCCGCTTCGAGAGCCTCTCCGGGAGACGACCGATCGCTGATGGCAAGTGTGTCTACGGGGGTTGCATGGACGAAACCTGCGGTTTCGTGTTTTGCAACATTTTGCAAGTTTATTTCGGCTTTCGAGTTTCGGCTGGAGTGGCTCGCGAAATTATTCGCACGCGGCAATACGCTTCGGAAAGGCGGCCGCGGTTCGCCGAACTATCTTTCGTACTTTCTATGCAGTTTGCAATCTGCCAGGTTGTTACGGCGATTCTGCGACGCTGGGTGAAGTGGCACCGTCGGTTTTTTTGCTTAGGATCTTTATGCGTTCGTTGCGAAGATGGATATGTCAAAAATAGTGATATAAGGACTATAGAAGAATTTGGAGAAATTGTTACGTTCTTTGCGACTCGTCAAAGTTGATGAAAGAAGAAATGAATCTACAGTGTGCCATATCCGCTTCTTGGAATTAATGCAGTCAGTTTTTATTCCGCTCTGCGGTTAAAGGTCCGCAAACTATTGGAAATCGGATGTTAACGAGCTTAGGCTTTTTGGTTCTTTCTTGTAAGTGGAGGGAATTTATTGATTTATTGATAACGTTAATAAGTGATGCGAAAAAAACGAATATCTTGCAGCAAAATAATGTAGCAGCATTGTTGAATTACATACAGTGGCGGCCATATGTCTAAGAATATTTGGAAAATTGTATAACTTTTTTAAAAGTGGACTAAATGACTAGAATTTTTGTTTGGTGACAGAAGGACTAGCCTATTACACAATAATTGAAATATTTTCTTTTAATTTTGTTATTATTTGGAATGATTATGGAACGCTGTACATGTAGGCTTAGGCAAAAAAATTGATATAACTTAATTGAGTTATTTAGCTTTTTTTGGCATTCGAAGCAATAACATAATTATTTTAGTCATTGTACAATAAACTAGTCCCTCTAACACCTCCAAAAAATTCGAGTCATTTAGTCCAGTTTTGAAAAGGAAAATCACACTGTTTTAAAAGGTATTAATGAAGTTTTGTTAATTATTGTATGTTGAAGTCATGAGTTCTGAAAAATGAACACATTAAGTGCCCCCAAAAATGTCCAAAAAATCAAAGCGAATTAATTAATGAAACCGAAATTAGAAAGTTTCTTAAAATTTATCATAGATAAATAGAATTTCAACGCTGTAACATTCTAAAAATCCTAGTAAAATGTATTTGTTTCGAAAGTACCACGATAAAAATGAATTTCAAAACCTAGTCAAAAGTTAGAGTCTCTCACACGCATACCTTGTTATTAAAATTTCATGAAATTAAAGTATTTTATTCAATCAGACTCTCTTTAAAATTGCAAAGCAGTCTTATATGACATTAATTACGTTTTCAACATTCGAGTCCCTTGCGAATCCAAATAAAATTAAGAATTTATAATGTATTTGCGTGAAAATTAATTCTTATGAAAATTAAATTTTAAACAATTCTATCGCCCATACACGTGTGACGCGGCAGTCAAAGTGTTAATAATGTAAATATAACATGCTTCTTGAATAATGCAATTATGATACGCTTCATTAATAATATAAATAAGATAAATTCTGTTAACAATATAATTATGATACGTTCTCTGAAAACTGTCGAGAATCGATTTTTATAATTAAAATGATCTGTCACGTGTACGTGACAACAGCCGTGAAAGAGTTAAACATATGTTGATTATATGGAAAATAATTTATCACCGTTTGCTATCGAGAAACCAGCATTACAACATCGTTTTTTATAATTTCAATATGCAGTTTCGTGCAATTAGCATGCAATATTGGAAAGATTGGCGGTCATCCTGACAGGAGTTAGTCGACAAACCTATGATATTTTCGGAAGAATCACGCGACTGGCAAAAGTCATCGGCACGAGAGGCGAAGTTCATTGGAGTGGAGCGCCCTTGGGACCAGATTTTTCCATTCGACGCTTTCGCGCTGGTCATGCTGGACGCTTTTTTTTTATTTTAGCGTTTTGTTTTTCCGCGTGCATTTTTATTTACCGTTTTTCTTTCTGTTTTTTAAAGCGAATCGGTTACAAATTCGGTACGCCCGGCCGTGTGTCATTAGGTGTGTGCTCGTTTCGGTGGATCTCTGTCGGATAATCGATGTTAAGTTGTCAGTGGAGTTTATCTGTCGAGAGCGGACGCTTTTTCACGGGGCCGACTTTTTGCGCGATTGTTCGCGCCAGTTGACACTCGATTCACCGGATTGATCGAAACTTTCAGTTCGCAAGTTTCCCATGTCGTTCGGCCGATTTTGCCGCATAATGTTGCGCGGGACAAAAAAGCTATTTGCGCTATCTTCCGATAATTTTATTTGAGAGAATATCGTGTTGACGCAACGAAGCTTTTCTTCGTCCTTTATTACAAATGCTGCTGAATTACTGATTTATGTAAGAGAAGCGAGCACCTCGTAGCGAAATAATGTCGCGAGACTGCTGATCCGACGTAACATCGCAAAGAAAGCAACGGGAAATTTATTTCATATAGTTTCGTAACATTTCAGTTCTTTATTGTAAATGAAAATACTAAGTTTACTCTCCAGAAATGTTTGCGAATTAGATTATAAATACAATAATGTTCTAAAAATGTGCATTAATTTTGTAATTGTTTCTCCATGTTTTACTGTTAGTAGCTTATCTTTGATCTTCTAGATTAAATAAATAAATAAATAAAATAAATAATAGTAAATAAAAATAAATCTTTAATCTTCCAGTTCTCCCTAATTGACGCTCAGATTGTACACGAAAGTGGACAATTTAGGAAGAGGAGATACGATTATTCGAGTTTTACGGCACTTTTTTATAATTGTTAACAATCGGTAACTATAAAAACGAGCCATTTACTGTAATATCAGTGCACAAACTTTCAGTCTGATCCAACAGATTTTTCATTGTTTTCCTTACAAAATGATGCAGCTAAACGTAACTATGAATACAAATAAATAACGTAAAATTAAAGTTGGCCAACAAAATTAATCGACAACTAACGATTGAATTATCACTGTTAATAGTTTATCGCAATTAACGATGAAATCTGTCTCAATTGCTAGTCGCGATTAACGAATTAATATTGTCTCCTTAGAATGCACATAAAACATTGGTACACATAAAAGTCATCAGTATCATAATACTTTCCTTATCAGAAGATTTTTCGTTTCGAAGACGATCGTACATTGTCTCTCAATGATAAGCTTACTATAGTTCACATAACAAAGTACAGAAATACCTAGATTATTTAACGTGCTGCCAATATGCTGCCTTTTTCGCTCGAAATTGTCGTGGAGGGTTAAAAACGTCAGGACATAAACATTGATCTGCAGATAACATAAAATTAGAGTTAGCCAAAAAAATTAATCGACAACTAACGATTGAATTGCCACTGTTAATAGTTTATCGCAATTAACGATGAAATCTGTCTCAATTGCTAGTCGCGATTAACGAATTAATATTGTCTCTTTAGAATGCACATAAAACATTGATACACATAAAAATCATCAGTATCATAATACATTCTTTATCAGAAGATTTTTCGTTTCGTAGACGATCGTACATTGTCTCTCATAAGGCTACTATACAGAAGTACCTAGATTATTTAACGTGCTGCCAATATGCTGCCTTTTTCGCTCGAAATTGTCGTGGAGGGCTAAAAACGTCAGGACATAAACATTGATCTGCAGATAAAATCGAGCCGGTCAGCTCGAAACATTTATCCTGTGATTCCAGGAATCATAAAAGCTTTCGCGACGAGTTATCAAATAAATACGTTTATTTGCTGACATGCGGCAATAAGGGAGCCATCGGCTCCGTACAAACGTGCGCGCTTCGAACTTTTACAAGAAGTTAAACCCCGGTCGCCGTTATTAAATGTTATATACGCTCGTATCTAACCGTCGAGTTAATCGTTTTTGCTAGAATTCAGTTTGTAGCGTTTATAGATCGAACAACGGCCGCCGGCCGAATGTGACCGCGCATGATCGCGACTTTTTCCACGTCAATCAGTGATCCCACGAAATTACATCGAATGACGTCGATCGCCGGTTACGCTCGTAACAATGTCGTTCTGCTATTATCGTTGGAAACAATTTTCTGCTGATCTTCGAAAGCACCGAAACGAGCAGATTTCACGTCTGAATCGTTTGCCATAATTTTTCGTTTCGTTTCGAGCATTTGATACGCGAGCGCGACCCTGGTCGCGCGTTTTCGAACGTCGCGTCGCGACGCCGTTGCCCGTCATTCTCTCGATTCTATCGATGAAATTTGATATTACATCGCCTTGCTAAATGAAGTTCTTGGGCGCCGGTTGTATAGGCAATCGGTGCACGGTCATTACTATAAACGCAATTAACCGGAAATTACTGTTAATTATCGATACTCGACGCGCAATAACTAATGTAGACAGCGGATGTAATACATTCCGGGGTTATTCATGTAATTCGTTGGTAACGCAATAACGAAATTTCGACGTTGAAATATGTA